TCCCCCCAATTCCCCAATAAAAATCTTTAAAAAAAAGTGTGAGCTCTGAGCAACAGGATCACCGGTTCGATTCCCACATGGGCCAGTGAGCTGCACCAGATATGAGCTACCGCTGAGCTGCCAACAGGTGGCAGGATGGCTCAGCTGGTGAGAGCATGTGCTCCTAACAACAAGGCTGCTGGTTCAACTCCCGCATGGGATGGTGGGCTACACCCACCCGCAACTAAGATTGTACAGGGCACCTTGAGCTGAGCGGCCGCAAGCTGCTGACAAGTGGCCGGAAGGCAACTGGACTTGGAGCTGAGCTAGCTGTGCCCTCCACAGCTAAGACTGAAGGACAACAACTTAGCTGTTTCCCTTCCCCAATTCCCCAACACTGTTTCCCTTCCCCAATTTCCCAATAAAAAAAATAAAATAAAATAAACAAAAACAAAAAAACAACTTCATTAAGGTGAAATTTACATACCATACAATTCACCTGTTTTAAGTGTATAATTCAATGATTTTTAGTAAATTTACTGAGTTGTACAACCATCACCACAATCCTAGAACTTTCCATCATCCATAGGAGACCCCTCCGCCCTTCACAGTTCATCTCCACTCCCACCCCCAGCCTCAGGCAACCACAGATGTACTTTCTGAGTCTATAGATTTGCTTACTAGACATTTTGTATCAATGGAATTGTACACCCTGTGATCTTTTGCGCCTGGCTACTTCCACTCAGTGTGATGTGTTTGAGGGTCATCCCTATCGCTGTGTGTATCCATAATTTGTTCCGTTGTATTGCTGAGTCATAGTCTCGTTGTGTGGAAGGACCGGCTTGCTTAACCATTTATTAGTTGAAGGAAATTTACACTGTTTCCAATTCGGGGCTGTTATGAGTAATGCTGCTATGATCCATTGAATCTGCACATTTATAATGTTTAAATGCAGTAAAATATTTCATTTGTCACAACAGATCATGTTCCAGAATTTGTTAAACTATTTTAAAAAGTTTTATATTTAGGCTATTTCTCATTGTCTGCTATTATGGATAATGCTGGGATGCATCTCTTATCAATATTTTTTTCACTCTGTCAAATATTTCCAGGGAGCGAGACTCTTGAATGGGAGCATACAAATATTTCTTTGGGTTTTGACAAGTGTCATCTTACTGCTTTCCAAATAGGCTGTTTGCAGCACAATAAAACATTCCCCAACCCCAAAGCTCCCAGCGTTAGATGTTTTCATTTTACTCTGTCATATGCCTTTCAGTTACACTTTACCCTCTTGAAATTTTACATCTTTATGTAATCCCACTGGTCTATTTCCCCCCTTTATGTCTTCCAAATTTCATGTCTTGCTTAGAAAATATCTCCCCAAGATTATACAATCTTCTTCTATCATTTTACCTTGCTTTTCTCGCACTCCCTGATGATGCTGAACTTTTATTAATTTCAATAATCCCTTTTATTACAGTTTCAACGTCTGGGCAGTTGATTTAATCCCACCCAGTTGTCACACCCTCACCTTAGCTTTACCGTATTCCATTATTTGTAATTTGGATATGTTCGACTCCATCCATCTTTTCTTTGGTAAACCAGGCAATTTCCAAGCCAACAGGCATTTTGGTAGTTGGAAGGTCAAAATGTTCCCAGCTAATGTATTCTCTCCCCCACCCTGGCCTGCTGAAGGACAGGTGAGCTGTTTGAAAGTGTTTGCCAAAGGGACACTCGCCATCTCCGCCTCCAAGGACCGCACATTGCGTTTGTGGAACTTACTTTCTGGCCAGGAGAAATTCACTATTTGGGACAGAGGCGCAAAAGATCCCACAGATCCTCCAATCTGGAGCCTTTATGTGGACGAAGCAAAGAAGGTTGTGTATTCTGCATCTGGTTCAAAGGTAACAAAGGTGTCTAATAAAAATTTAGTCACATGTGGCATACATTATATTTTTATTGGGCGGCGCAGGCTTAAATATTAAAGAAGTGTTGGTTGATTTCAAAACTGATTAGAGAAATCACCTTTGTTATCAAAAGTTTGGAAAGAACTGTAAAGAAATAATAAATAATAATAGATAATCCCTAAGATAACCAGTCTTAACATTTACATGATTTTACTTTATGTGGTGTGTGCATATGGAAGTGTGTGTATGTGTATGTGTGTGTGTGTGTGTGTGTGTGTGTGTGTGTGTGTGTGTAAAACAAAATTGGGATAAAACCATATATGCTGTTTTATGCTAGTTTTTCATTTGTCCATAACCTTAAGCACTTTTAAAAACTGCATGTTTAGTGACTTCATAAGGTTCCATTGCATGGCTCCACTATTGTTTATTTAACCCTTTGTTGTTGGACATCTAGGTTGTGTCCAGTTCTTTGCAATTTCAAATAACTGAGATAAACTTCCTCATGCATATATCTTTGCGTGTATCTCTTTAGCATAAACCCCAGAAGTAGAATTAATGGACAAACGTTTACCATGTAAATGGTTATTGCTGATAAAAAGATACTTTGGGGTTATTTTGGTGAGGTTAAACAGAAAACCTGATTTAATTAATAATTACTAATAATGGGGGCCAGCCAACTGGCATGTTGGTTAAGAGTTGGCTTGGGATGCCAGCTCTGAGCAGCAGGGCCCTGGTTCAAATCACACATGAAGTGACGCTGCGCCCTCTACAGCTAAGATGGTGAACAACAGCTCGACCTGGAGCTGGGCTGCCTTGAGTCGCCAGCAAAGGTGTAGGCTGCAGTGGGGCAGCAGTGGGCTGCCGTGAGTGGCCAGCAGCCAGCGTGAGTGGCCATCCAATGGCTGGCAAGCAACTGCCTCACCCGGGAAGAGCACAATGATAATACCAACATGGGCCAGTGAAGCAACGTCCTCAACTAGGCTGAAGAACAAAAGGACAGCGACTTGTCTGTTCCCCTCCCCCAATTCCCCAATTTAAAAAATCTTTTAAAAAAATAATAATAATAATTACTAATAATGGACATATATGTCAATTAATATGTCATGGCTGGCTCTTTTTTCTATTTTTAAAACTTTTTCTTTTAGAGCAAATTTAGATTTATGCAAAAGTTATAAAGACATTATAAAGAGTTCCATGTGCCCTTGATCCAGCCTTCTCTAATGTCAACAGCTTACAAAATCACATTTTTCAAAACTAAGACATTAATATTGATAATTTCCATCAATTTAACTCAAGACTTTATTTGGATTTCATCAGTTTTCTCACAAATGTCCTTTTGCTATTCCAGGATCCAATCTAAAATACCTCTTCCCTGCCCCCTTTTATTTTGGAACTGGCAGAGCGTTGAAAATAAAATACACGAGCTATAAAAAAGAACAGGTCTTGCATTCAGCCCTGGAAAACATGCAACCTAGGTCCCCGCTGAGTTCTCTCTTTCTTTTCATCCTTCCATTAGGTCAGTGCTTGGGATCTGGAAACTGCAGAGCTGGTTTTCCATATCCTAGGAGATGCCTCTGACCCCTGGATGTTCACGGCAGTGCTGGCTTCCTGGCCCACATTGCTGACTGTGTCTGAGGGTGGTGTGGTCACTCTGTGGAGCTCAGCCACGGGAAAAGTGCAGGGGAAGCAACGCTTGTCCAGCATAAAAGAAGAAACACCTACCTGTGGGGTCTCGGTCCAGAAACCAGGAAAGATCGTTATTGGGTTCAGCAAGGGTTCCATCTCTTTGGTAAGCAACTTTATTGAATATGATGCCAACATTCACTTAATTCCAAAGTGCTCAGATGTCCTAGAAAGAAGAGAAAAACCATCTCACCTTTGATCTTTTAATAAATGCCACTTGGCTTCTTAATTCTAGGGATTTCCAATTCAGCACAGTTCAGGAAACATCTATTGGTGTCTCTGAGGGCTGGCCAATGTGGGCAATTGTTGGCGCTCAGTCCAGTTGGGGGTACTCTGGGAAACAGTATAAAAACTGTCAGAGTTGTCCCCACTGAGAAGCCAGGAGCTGGGATACTATCCACCAGATCCATTAGTGGTTGGGTGAGGTCTGCTCCCAGGAGTATTAACACAGAGGTCAAGTGTGGCGGTGAGATGGGAGCAAGGGAGACTGAACTCCATTTGCCCACATTAGCAACTGCCTTAATGAGCCACATTTTTTGATTGCCTTCCCTTCACAGTCTCAACTTTCCACTTTCTACCAGTGTTTGCTGCAATTAATTCCCAAATAAACTACTCGCACCCAAATACTATTCTCAATGTCAGCTTCTGGGGCAACCCAAAGTAAATTCCTGGCAAAATGTAAATTGGGGCAAAAAGCTGCAGCAGGAATGGAAGGTAATCTCTAGCACCCTCAAAAAGTTGGCCAGGGTATAGAGAGAGAGCTGTTCTGTGATTTGGAAAACTGATGGTTGGGGTGTAAGGAATGAGGATCTATTGAGTCTCACCAGTGTCCAGACCCCAGCCCTGCTGGAGGGAAAGTCTTGATAACACCCTCAAAATATCTGGGACTGTGGGTCAGTGAATTTAAGGACAAATACAATCAAGCCCAAACCAAGCCGACATACAGATTAGATTGATTCAGACTTCTCCATACTAGAGGCCCAACAGAAGTAGCATGTCCTTTTCTTGGGGTAAATATTATTTACTTTAGGCTGTGCTGTCTTTTTATACACAATATCCATTATATTACAAAAATTATGACACCACAAGCAAGAAAATGGGACCATAATCAAGAACAAATTAGGACCATAATCAAGAGCAAAACAACCAATAAAGGAGATACACAAATGACTCAGATGTTTAAATGATCAGACAAAGAACTTTAAAACATATATGATAAATAATGGAAGAGGTGAATAACACGTGTGAACGAACAGATGAGGAATTTCAAAATGTTAAACCAAAACTAGAATAAAAGACCAAATGGAAATTCTAGAAATAAAAAAAGACAGTGTCAGAAATGAAGAATTCATTTAACAGCAGACTAGTCACAGCAGAGAAATGTCAGTGAATTGAAGGCAAGTTAATGGAAATTATCCATCATAAATATAAAGAAAAAAAATCAATGAGTGGAAAATGAACAAAGTATCTGAGACTTGTGGGACAAAGCCGAATGTCCAAAGGACAATTAGAGTCTCTGAAGTAGAGGAGAGAATGAGAATGCTACAGAAGTAATATTTGAAGAGATAATGGTTGAGAATTTTCCAAAATTTATGTAAGACATCAGCCCAAAGATCCAACAGCTCACAGGGTCCCCAAGCAGGGTCAAACGAAAGAAAACTACATTTTGGGGGCCAGCCAAGTGGCGCATTGGTTAAGAGTTGGCTTGGGACACCAGCTCTGAGCAACAGGTCCCTGGTTCGGATCCCACATTAGGGCCAGTGATGCTGCGCCCTCTACAGCTAAAATGGTGAACAACAGCTCAACCCGGAGCTGGGCTGCCATGAGTCACCGGCGATGGCATAGGCCTCAGTGGAGCTGCAGTGGACTTCTGTAAGCTATCGTGAGCCACCGGCAGCAGGTGTGAGCGGCCTTCCAGTGGCCGGCGAGCAACTGCCTCACCCGGGAAGAGCGCAATGATAATACCAACATGGGCCAGTGAAGCGATGTCCTCCACAACTAGACTGAAGAACAAAAGGACAGCAACTTGTCTGTTCCCCTTCCCCAATTCCCCAACGCTGTTCCCCTCCCCCAATTCCCCAATAAAATCTTAAAAAAAAGAAAACTACATTTTGGCAATCATAATCAAACTTATGAATAACAAAGTTAAAGAGAAAAATCTTAAAAGCAGGCAGAGGAAAAGACTCATTACATATAGTGGGTGACAATGATAAGAATGGCAGCTGACCTCATCAGAAACAACAAGGACAGAAGACAATGAGATGGCATCTGTAACTTGATGAAAGAAAAAAGCAAAACCTGTCAACCTAGACTTCCATATCCAGTGAAAATATCCTTCAACACTGAAGACAACATAAAGGCATTTTCAGGCAAGTAAAAGCTGAGACAATTTGTCTCCAACAAACCTGCGCTGTAAGAGGTGCTTGAAAAGGCTGAAGGGGTATAATACCAGACGGAAGCTTAATAAAGGAAGGGCATCAGAATAGAGAAAGCTTAGCTCAAAGCTGTCTGTGCCGTATGAAAGCCAGAGCAAAGGGAAGGAGGCTGAATGAGCAGGTACCCAAAGACTCTGGAATAATTTGGTCCTGGGAAAAACAGTCTCTTTGTGCCAAAGTTCCTGAGTGGTACCCAACCGTCACTCTTCACCCAAGCTGACCCTGAAATATTTGAGTCCAAGTGGAACTCAAGATGTAAAGCCGCTAGACCTGCAAGCCAGGAAATAAAGATCATGCATATGTCAACCAAGAGTCAGATATTAAAATACATGAAACTTACAACAAGGATTTAAAACATGTAAGCAGGACTCCATCCTGCCCTAATAGAAATAAACACACACACACACTTCTTATGACCAGTTGCACGGGACAACTACAGATGAAGTTACCAACTCTGAGTCCCAAAGAGCCGGCTGTGACCTGCCTTTGGTCATTATAATTCACTGAAACTTTGAAATTGGTTTCTGCATAGAGTGATTATACCAGGAATGGGAGTTTAATTTTATTATCTAAATGTTGATATTTTACAAATATCTCCTAAGATTTATCTGGTTCAGAAAAGTGCCTGTAACGGAGCTCTTACTTTGAACATAAAAGTGTGTATTTTTATGAAAAGAAAAGCCATTTCTTGGGCACTATTTTACCTTCTTCGTGGGGATATAAACTGGCGAGCTCTTGGGAAAGCAATCTTGCAGTGTCTCACAAGATTAAAAAGTCAAACTCCCGGGCCGGCCGAGTGGCGCGATGGTTAAGAGCTCACTCAAGAGTTTGAGCTCTGAGCAACAGGGTCCCCAGTTTGATTCCCGGCCCAAGCTGAGCTGCCGCTGAGCTGTCAATAGGTGGCAGGATGGCTCAGCTAAAAAAAAAAAAGTCATACTCCTGTTGAACCCAGCAATTCTGCCTCCAGGAACCTATTCTAAATACTTGCAGCCGTGCCCATGAATGTAAACACAGTGTGGCTACATTTTATGTGAATTTGAGCTAGGTAGGTAAATTTGAAATAAGATTATAAAAATATTCCGTCTAATTTTATGAGCAAATTTGAAATGCGGAAAAATGCAAAAACGTTATAAAATTGGTTCAGCGTCTCACGAATGGTAGACTATGTTTACACTCATGTCAGTGGCAGCAGCAACGCCTGGTAGGCAGAAATACCTACTGTCCTTTTGGATCTTAGTGGACGATCCCTCTCAAATTTGGCATATTTAGATGATCTGAGATTTTTCAAGAATTTACTTCTCACTTAAAATGAGATCAGGGCCGGCCGAGTGGTGCGTTGGTTGGGAGCTGGCTTGGGACACCGGCTCTGAGCAGCAGGGCCCCAGTTTGGATCCCACATTAGGGCCAGTGACGTGGTGCCCTCTATGGCTGAGATGGTGAACAACAGCTCAACCTGGAGCTGGGCTGCCATGGGTCGCCGGTGACAGCGTGGGCTGCAGTGGAGCTGCAGTGGGCTCCCATAAGCTACCGTGTGTTGCTGGCAGCCGGTGTGAGTGGCTGGCAGCCAGGGTGAGCTGCCAAGAGCCGCCGTGAGTGGTCGTCCAGTGGCCAGTGACCAATCTGCCTCAACCCAGAGGAGCGCAATGATGGTGCTGGCATGGGCGACGTCCTCCACAACTGGACTGAGGAGCCAAAGGACAGCAACTTGTGTGTTCCCCTTCCCCTCCCCCCAATTACCGAGTAAAATCTTTAAGGGGGAAAAAAAAAATGAGACCAGCTTAGAGAATGGCATTTACTGCAGCACTCTATGTAATAAGAAAACATTAACATGATCTCAGATGTCCGTCCATAGAAAAGCAGTGATATGAAGTTAGGAACTTCCATACTATGGCAGATTATGTAGCTATAAAGAAATCAGATGGTCTTGAGCAGTGGTCAGCAAACTGTGGCCTGCTGCCTGTTTTTTGTGCAGCCTGCAAGCTGAGAATGGTTTTTCTAATTTTAGTGGTTGAAAAAAAATTTATAAATAACTTGTGATGTGAAAATTCTATGGAATTTATATTTCAGTGTCCATAAATGGAGTTTTATTGGCACCTAACCACACCCATTTATTTATATGCTGTCTATGGCTGCATTTGTGTTATATGCAAAGTTGAGACTGTATGGCTCCAAAACCTAAAATATTTACTACCTGGCCCATGACAGGAAAAATGTGCCAACTCCTGGGCTAGAGGTACTTTCATGGAAATTACAACAAATTTTCAGGTAGTGTTCACTGTACGAAGCACTATTTTAGGCACTTTCTATCTGTTAATTTATTTAACCCTCAGAGCAATGCCAAGATGTAGCTGCTGCTATTTTCTCTATGCTACAGATGGGTAAGCTGAGGCTCAGAGAGGTAAGGTCATTTGTCTAAGGTCACACAGCTGGAGACTGTCACAGATTGGATTTGAACTCAAGCAGTCTGGCTCTAGGATCCAGGTTCTTGACTGCTGTGCTAGCTTATTCCCCACCCACACACCGGATGGCACTATTGACATTTTAGGCCAGGTGGGGCGCTTTGCTGTAGGGGGCTGTACTGTGCATGGCAGTGTGTTTAGCAGCACCCCTGACCTCCACCCACTAGGTACAAAGTATCTCCCCACTATTAATGACCAAAAATAGGTCTCCATTGCCCAATGTCCCCTGGGGAGGCAAAATCACCCCCAAGTTGAGAACCACTGCCCCAGACACGTTAAACGAAAAAGCAACTTACAGAACAATATGTGTGATGCATTGTACAACACAGGATGCTCCTATAATATGCTAATGGACGCTCAGCAAATGCAGAGAACAGTCCCTTCTGGGGAGAAGGAAGAGTAGAGTAACAGGGAAGGTGAAAAGATGCACTGGATATTTATTTTTAAAAAAATCTTACAGCATTATTGTTTAAGTTTAAAAAAAAATGTTAAAAAAATGGCAGTTACATCCATGAAGAAATTCCCTTTCTCCTGTGCATGTTAAATAAATGTTGAACAAATATTTTTTAAATATTGGCTTGAATTGGTGCAAAGGACTCACTTTCCTGGGCTGCTCACCTGTCCACCCCGCCCAAGATAATGGACATAAAGCTTTTGGCACATGGCCTGTTGTTGGTCAGGTGCTCAAATCTCAGTAAGCTGGATTGGGGCTGAGAATCAGGATTAATGAATGAATCTTCCTCTTGGATCTGAGCAAAATGAGTTCATTTCTGCAACTCAGGAATGGGAAGAATGATGCTGCCTTCTTCTGGCTCCAACCTGTGTTTTGATTTTATTTGAGATCTCCAGACCTCTTCTGGGGGCAGAAAATGAATACTGGAATGTTCTCTGGGTTCCTTAGTTGGTTACAACAACTACAACATCAACAGTAATAATAATACTTGCCACTTTGGGAGGGCTGACTATGTGCCTGGCGAGGGTGGGGTGGACCACTCCAACACACTTCTTAATCTACGAAAGCCCTGTGAGGCGGTCCCTGTATCATCACCCATTTAACAGATGAGAAAACTGAGGCACCCGAGGGTTAAGGAATTTAACATTGCTTAAATTCCTCACTCACATTACTAGTGAGTGGCAGAGCCATGCATCAGATCCAAGCTCTTGACCCTGAACACTTAACCCTATGGAAATGCCTGATGGCATCTTTGACTTTGTGCAGGTTTCCTCTGAAGGAGACAGTCTGCTAGAGAAGCTTCCAGAAGCTGTGAGGTTCCTGGTGGTCTCTGAAGACGAGTCCCTTCTCGCTGCAGGTAGCATTTAGCTCCCTGGGGAGTGATGCAGGGGCAGTTCTGGATTTGGCTGTAAGTGGGGAGGGGCTTGGAGAAAGGGCAGAGTCCTAGCGCAGCGCTCAACAAACTTTTTCTGCAAAGGGCCACATAGGATGCTTTTTTGGCTTTGCGGGCCCAATGGTCTCTGTCACAATTATTGAACCTTGCCCTTGTAATGCAAAAGCCACCCAGGACATATTTCAAGTGGGTATGGCACTGTGCCGATAAAACTTTCTTTATAGACACTGAAATTTGAATTTCATACCATTTTCATGTGTCATGAAATAGTAATCTTATTTTGAGTTTTTTCAAGCATTGAAAAATATAAAAAGTATTCTTAGCTCACGGGCCACACGAAAATAGGTGGTCAGCCACTTTCAGCCCACAGGCTACAGTTTGCCAACAACCCCTGTTCTGGGCAAATCTCCTAATCTTTCTGGGCTTCTTCTGGTTCATTATTTTTGAAATGGGAGTGGTTATCTCTGCAGGATAGTCACAGGGATAGAGGGGGTGCTGGATGAGAGGATTGGGTACACTCAGAGGTACGCCAGCCTACACAACCCCTGCTAGCAGGAAAGATGGACAAGTAGGTAGGCACAAAAAAAGACAAGAATTGGGGCCATGGGAGCATGTGATAGGATTCCCTTGTTTAGTCCAAAGCAGTCAGGGAAGGCTTCCTTGCAGAGGTGACCGACAGATGCTCCACAGCCTGATTTTTTTTTTTAAGGACTATTTCTTTTCAGATCAGTTTTAGGTCCACAGCCAAATTGAGCAGAATGTACAGAGATTTCCTATATACACCCCTGCCTCCGCCCCAGGCGTAGCCTCCCCGCCCCGCCCCAATATCAATATCTCCCACTGGAGTGCTGCATATTTACAATCTATGAACCTACACTGACACATCGTCATCCAAAGTCCACAGTTCACATTAGGTTCCACTCCTGGGGTTGTACGTTCTATGGGTTTGAACAAATGTATAATGGCATATATCCATCATTATGGTCTCATACAGACTAGTTTTACTACTCTAAAATCAGCCTGATTTTTGTAAAGCCATTTCTAGGGGTCAAAGATGCTCTAGACAAGTGCTATCCAGTAGTGCAAAACATAAATGTGAGCCATGGTAATAATTGTGAATATTCTCATGACCCGATTTAAAAAGGTCAAAAGAAACGGGTAGCATTCGTGTTAATATATCTTACTGAACCCAAACATGAAATCAATATAAAAATGATTAATGGTCTATTTCACATTATTTTTTAAAATTCTTGTGTGAAGTTTTCAAAATCTGGTGTGTATTTTATACTACAGCTCATCTTGATTCAGACCAGCCACATTGATAGCCATGTGTGGCTCGTGGTGACCCTCCTACAGAGTGCAGGGCTGGTAGATAAACAATTATCCTCCAAGTCTGACTGATGGATGATGAATTGATATATACCTTCTATTCTGTTTCCAAAAGGATTTCAGGTGGCTTAAGTATGTGTAAAATGCAGCCCAGGAATTAGGACTAAAAATAGAAAGAAAAACAAGGGTAGAGGCACAAAATAGAATCAGAACTGAGGTCACAGCATTGAGGATTTCAGTGACCTAGAAACATGTTACAGTTGGGTTTCAAGGGTAGCTCTTTCCAGCAGCCAATGAGAAGGAGCCTGGACAGTTTTCCCATCCACAGTGTTAGGAACCAACCTGTTGGTTAGGAGATGTAGTCCTTATTCGCCCACCTCCCTGCTAGGGGTCCTTTCAACACAACATTCACCCAGACCGTATATGGAACGCAAGGAAGCAGCTCCCCTTGGGTAGGGTTGCTAGATAAAATGCAGAATGCACAGTTAACTTTCAGATAAACAACAGCTTGAGTTTTCAGTGTAAGTATATCCCACGCAATATTTGGGATATACTTATACTAATAAAAATTTTCATTGTTCATCTGAAATTCAGAATTAACGGGGTGTGTTGTTATTGCTGTTGTTGCTATTTTGCAAAATCTAGCAGCTCTTTCTCTCCCTCACCTCCCCTTCCTTCACTCTGCTCCAGCTGCACTGGCCTCCATGCTGCTCCTCAGGCATACCATGCCTTTCCTACCTTCTGGCTGTCCCATGCTGTTCCCACTCTTCCAGTGCCTGTCACCTCCTCATCCCTCTAAAGTCAGCTCGCATGTCCTGGGGCTGCCATAAGAAACCACCACACAAATGTGGTGGCTTAAAACAATAGGAATTTCTTGTCTCACAGTTCTAGAGGCCACAAGTCCAAAACCACAGTGTTGGCAGCGCCGGCTCCCTCCACAGGCTCAAGGGAAGACTCCTTTTTTGCCTCTTCCAGCTTCTGCCTTGTGATTCCTTCCCTTACCTGGTGGCCACATCGCTCCAGTCTCTGCCTCCGTCTTCACATTGCCTTTTCTGCTATGTGTGTCTCTGTGCCATTTTCTCATGGCACTCAGTCCCCTGATTTCATTGTCCTTATTGCAAATTATAACCTTTTATTTTCCTTTCCCCCTCCTTCCCTTTATTTCTTTTTTTCCTTCCTTCCTTCCATCTTCAAAGCGTGTTGTCTCTATGTCCAGCTTTGTGCTGGGTTCTGGGATACTGTGAGCAGCCCAAACAGGCCCTCCCAGCACTCTGAAAACTCATAAAATTTGATAACAAGTAACTACTGTTTTTCTGTGAGCTTATTGATCACTGTCACCCCCATGGAAGGCTCTGTCTTGCTCACCACTGTATTACTTCCACTGGCACATAATAGGTGCTCAAAAAAAAATCTCTGTTGACCGAATTGAATGACTCTCAAGCTCCTCCAGGAATGGAAGGCGTAACCCAGGTCCCTGCCATTTCAGGCTTTGGAAGATCAGTGCGGATATTCTTGGCTGACTCACAGGGGTTTCATCGATTCATGGCCACTGACCTTGAACATGAGGACACAGTGGAGACGGCTGTTTTTGGTGCTGAGAACAACCTGATCGTCACTGGGTCCCAGGATGCTCTCATTCAGGTGAGGGGAAGACCCAGGGCCTGTCACCCTCATCTCCACCTCCATAATAAAAGGTAGGATTCTTTAGGGATCTTTGTACTTGAGAATACAGACACACACAAAAAAGAGTGCAGGACAGGGTAGGTGATTGGGAGGATATGGGAGAGTCTCCTGGGACCCAGCAACAGACCTGGGGGAATTACCAAAGTAGTCAACAAAGGAGATAGCTTCCCACGAAACCTAAAAGGCTAGGAGGGTTTTGACTGTCAGAGTGGAGCAGTGTTGGAAAGGAGGGAAGGAAAATTCCTGTTAAGTTCAAAGTTCTCAGGGCTGGTGAGAAAAGCACATGATAAAAATATCGGTTCTCCAATGATCTGGCCTCAGCCCATCTTTACATTCTTAAAGATTATTGAAGACCACCCCCCAAGAGCTTTTGTTTATGTGAGTTATACCAATTTGATTTATATATTTTAACAAGTGATTTATTTTGGAATAATTTTAGGATTTACAGAAGAATTGCAGAGTCCCCAAATATATATCTACTCTTCACCCAGCTTGCCCCAACATTCACATCTCATATTACCTTGATCCCTTTATCAAAACCAAGAAATTAACACTGGGACAATACTCGTAACTGATCAGTAGACTTTGTTCTGATTTTACCAGCTTTCCCACAGATGTCCTTCTTTTCAATTTCAGGATCCAACCCAGATCCCACACTGCATTTAGTATCTATTGATAATTACCATATTAAAAGTTAAAAATGAGGAAATACTTATCCATTAATTCATTAACATGACGGTCAACATAATAATATACTTTTTTGAAAATAACTCTATTTTCTGAAACACACCAAAAAACTCGTAAGAAGAGTATCGTTGTTTCACATTTTGGCAAATCTCTTCCACGTCTGGCTTAATAGAAGGTAACTGGGTTCACCTATTTCATTCTGCATTCTCCTATCTATTGTAATATCACATGTCCCATAACTTTTTAAAAAATTCCACTGTTCACTTGTGAGAGGAAGCATAGAAGAGACAAATAATATCTCAGAATTATTATGAAAATAGGTTTGGTTTTGCAGAAAAAGCTTGGGATACCCTCCCTGGAACACACTTTGAGAACTGCCATGGCAGTAGAATGGTGAGATGTGGGGAAGTTTGAAGGGGTGAGGAAACGTGAAGGTCCTTGAACTTCAGCTTGAGAATTCACCTTAGATGACAAATGGACCTGAGCACGTTTCCAAGCTAGGCAGGCAGCATAAGAAAGAAGTCACCTCTACCTCTCCGCTCTCCATCCTCAGGTTTGGAGTCTGTCAGAGCAGGGGAGCCTGCTGGACATCCTGGAAGGTGTCGGGGCCCCCGTGAGCCTGCTGGCCCGGGGTGGGACCTTGGTGGCATCTGCTTCCCAACAGTCTTCGTCCTTTAAAGTCTGGGACCTCACTTACATTCAGAAGCCACGGGCCTCTGCCCCATTTCTGGACCGTACTGGCCTCACTGCCGTGTCACACAATGGGAGTTATGTTTACTTCCCTAAAATTGGGGACAAAAACAAAATCACCATTTGGGATTTGGCAGAAGGTTTGTATGATAAAAGCTCATTCATTCATGTGGGTAAGCATTGAAGCCCCTGTCTTAGTCTGTTTGGGCAGCTGTAAAAGAACACCATCGACTAGAATAACGGACATTTATTTCTCACAGTTCAGGAGGCTGGGAGTCCAAGATCAAGGTGCCGGCAGATCTAGTATCTGGTGAGGCTCTCTTCCTAGTTTGCAGATGGCCACCGTCTCATTGTATCCTCACATGGAAGAGAGCTGAAAGAGAGCAAGCTCTCCTTTCTCCTCTTACAAGGGCACTCATTCCATCGCGAGGGCTCCATCCACCTCCATGACCTAATCGCCACCCAACCGCCCCACCTCCTCATACTAGCACGTTAGGTGTTAGGATTTCAACATATGAACTTCGGGGAGACACAAACATTCAGTCCATAGCACCCCCATCAGGCCAGTCTAGTTGGAAGTGGCTAATAGCAAACAGGATTTAATTTTACACATTTCTAGCATAAGGCAATTGATAATTGGTTGTCAGTCTGTTTTAGTTCAGGTTCCCCGGAAGCAGGGCATATGACCGTGATACTCACACAAGCAGTGCATGGAGGGGCAACCCCCAGGGGAAGCCTGAGAGGGGGTGAGGAAGCAGGTTGGGGCTAGGAAAGGACTAAGCAAGGACGTGGGCTCAGCCTGATCCCACTGGGGGCTCTGGAGCATAAAGTGCATTTCAGAGTTGTCCCACCTTGAAGAAAGGGGGCCATCCTTTTGTACCCCTATCAGGCAGTCATTGGCCTGGTGCCTTTCTTGGGAGGGGGACAGGCACAGCCCCCAGACATTTCCAGATGCGGGTTCCCTTCACCAGAGGTCAGTAGGCAGCCTTGGGGTGGGTGAACTGGCCAGTACAGGGGGTCTGGGCGTGTCACCAACAGTACCTGCTATAATCTTCATTGGGCAAATGGAGATGTAGAAATTTCTCAGTTATGATAAAATAATAGAGAAAATAACTTCACTCTCGAGTCCATGAATTCATGGATTTTTGACAGATGTATGTTTAGTGCTGGGCTCTGGGAGGTCAGCAAGACAGAGTCTTTTTTTTGTTTTTTGCATATTTTATTTATTTATTTATATTATTATTATTAGTTTCCGGTGTACAAAACAATGCAATATTTATCCTTTTCACCCCTCACAAAGTGACAACTCCCCCCATCCACTGCCCTCCCACCCCTGATATACATATCTATTACAATTCCATTGACTCCATTCCCACACTCTACTCCACATCCCGTGAGTATATGTATATAAAATTATAGTTGACATACAATATTATTCAACATCAGCTTCAGATATACAGCGCAGTGGCCAGGCCTCTACACTGTCTATGAAGTGGTCTCCCTAACAAGATCTGAGTCCATCTGGCCCCCTAGAAAATATTTACAACATGATAGATTATATTCCCCTGTCTTTTCTATCCTTGAGGCCACATTGTAGTCACCAATTTATACTGTCTCATCCTTTCCCCTTCTCCTTCATCCTTACCCTCCCCCACTACCCACAATCAGTTTTTCCTCTGTGTCTCTGAGACTATTTCTGTTTACATTACTCGTTTATTCAGTTCTTTAGAGTCCACATATAAGTGAGATCATATGGTATTTGTCTTTCTCTGACTGACTTATTTCACTTAGATAATGTTCTCTAGGTGCATCCATATCGTTGCAAATGGTACAATTTCCTTCTTCATAGCTGAGTAATACTCCATTGTATAAATGTACCATAGTTTCTTAATCCAGTCGTCTACCGATGGGCATTTCGGTTGTTTCCAAGTCTTGGCTATTGTAAATAGCGCATCAATGAACATAGGGGTGCATATATTTTTTCGAATTAGTGAGCAAGACAGATTCTTGAAATGCTTGCCTGCTAGTTGTGGGGCAAAACAAGACATGAAACAGAGTGTAGTGGGGAGTGGATAGGAGTCTACAAACTCCGGACCGCAGGCTGAATCCAGACAGACAGACCCATTTATTTATGTATTGTCTGTGGCTGCTTTGGGGCTACAAAGGCAGGATTCAATGGTTGCCACAGAAAGCATACAGTCTACAGGGCAAAAGTGTTTACTCTTCAGCTGTTACTGCAGTTTGTAAAGGAAACATTTGGGATGAGGTCCGAGAGATCACGTGAGGGGAGTGGGAAGTCACTGGGGGGATTAGGCAGGGCAATGAGATGGTATGATTCTTAGTTTTAAAACTTTGGATGGTTTGGGGGACAGGAGTGGAAGCAGGAAAACTTGCAGTAGCCGAGTTGAAGCTTACGAATAATGAAAGCATTGAAAAAATTGGGAAAGCCGTGCAACAAGCATTCCTATTATCCATTCCTGATGCAGTTCTTCTCCCCATTGTGGCAGGTGAGGAACAAGATGTCCTGGACACCTCCAATGAGGTCAGGTGTCTGGAGGTCGCTGAGCAGGCCAAGCTCCTTTTCTCTGGCCTTGTTTCCGGCATCGTCCTGGTGTTCCCCCTGAATTCCAGGCAAGATGTCCTGTGCATCCCCCCTCCGGAGGCCCGGAAAGCCATCAACTGCATGGCCCTGAGTAAGGGTGAGGAGCACCTGGCCATCGCCTATGACAGCATTGTCCTGGTGCTGGACATCAGTCCTGGGGACCCCTGTCCAGTCATCGATGGGCCAACCTACACCTTCTATACCCAGCTGCCCGAGACCATATCCAGTGTGGCCATTCTAGCCAACTACCGCGTGATCTACGGCATGACCAATGGCGACCTCTTCCTTTATGAGTGTGCAAATTCCAAAGTGTTCCCACTGGAGGCCCATGGGAGCCGGGTAACCTGCGTGGAGGTCAGCCACAAGGAGCAGCTGGCAGTCAGTGGGTCCGAGGAAGCCCTGCTCTGTCTCTGGGACCTGCAGGCATGCAAGTGGAAATTCGAGATGAATTACATGGTGCGTGACCCACCACACCACATGCATGCTAGGTCCTGGCATTAGAAAACTGATGACAGGCATCATTTATTAAGTGCACACACAGTATGCCATTGGCCAGGGTCAGGCCTAGTATAAGGTAAATGAGGCACTTGCCTCAGGAGCAGAGTTTAAGGGGGTGCCCCAAAACTTGGAAATCAAGAGAAATTATACTTTGATGCAATGTTTTTTTGTTTTTTTGGGTTTTTTAATAATTGTTTTTAACTTTTTTTTTTAAAGATTTTTATTGGGGAACTGTGTTTTTCCAGGACCCATCAGCTCCAAGTCAAGCAGTCATTTCAATCTAGTTGTGAAGGGCACAGCTCAGTGGCCCATGTGGGGATTGAACCGGCAACCTTGGTGTTATGAGCACTGAGCTCTAACCAACTGAGCTAACTGGCCACCCCTGCAATGTTTTTTTGGTGTGTTTTTTTTAATCACAACAAATGCAAACGATCTACGAAAAACAAAATTATCAATATTTTAAATAAAGACAGGATCAAATTGTGTACTAGCACAGCCCTGCCTCGCTCTCCTCACCTTAACTATGTCACTCTTTCGCTCACCAGTTTTGACTGCACATCTTATACCAGGCCCCTTTCAAGCACTGAGGAAGCAGCTGTAACCAGGGCAGACACTGACAGTCCCACCTTTTGGAGCCACGGTCTAGTGGAGGAGACACTGTGAGCTCCGCCAGGGCAGGATTTTTTTTTGTTTTGCTCACTGATGATGGACCCCGTCCTTAGGAGAGCTCCTGACATATCCTCCTCAGGGCTCAGTAAATGTTTGTGAAATAAAAACAAAGTAGCAAATATGTGATAGGTTGGGAAGCAACAAGGGCTTTGGAAAAAAGGGGCAAGGTCAAGGGGGTAGAGAGTGGTAAGGGTTGCTATTTAAGAAGGTCAAATAAATTTGGTGGAACAGCATTCTAGACAGGAGGAACAACAGCTACAAAGGCTCTGAGGAGGGAAACTGGTGACTCCTTTATGTGTGAAATGTCTTAGAGTCCGCACCACCCATCTCATAAAGAGCTATTATAATTTTATCAATACTATTAAGAGCTGTATTATATATTTATATATTTATATTATTTATATGTTATATACATGTTAAAATATAATTCTATAATTTAATCCTCACAACAATCTTGTATGGTTAGTGTTATTATTCCAGTTTTTCAGATTGGGAACAAAAGTTGTACCTTAGGTTGCAAGACATAAATATTGTTAATAAACACAGGGAGATGATCTTGTAACTAAGAGAACAGAGTGTGTGTAGTTTCATCTTAAAAAGCCTTTGTCCCACCTGACTTGTTTATTTTTATGAAGCTGAGATGTATGTAATCTTTTTCCTTGTTGAGATGGGAAATGTCACCACAGCAGTTTAATACACCTAACTTTCTGTTTTTGCTTTTAAATAAATTTAATTTTGAAATGTTTTTAGATTTACAGAAAACTTCAGATGTACAGATAGTACAAAGGTTCCCATTTACCACTTCTCACTCAGCTTCCCCTGATGTTAATATCTTATGTAATGAGAGTGTGTTTGTAAAACTAAGAAATTAACATGGAAACAATATATTTTTTAATTGAAGAATTGGGGGAGGGGAACAATGTTGGGGAATTGGGGAGGGGGACCAGCCAAGTTGTTGTTCTTCAGTCTTATTTGTGGAGGGTGCCAGTAGCCACCTGGCTGCCTATCAGCAGCTAATAGCCTCTAAGCTCAAGGTGCTGTGTTACAGTCTTAGTTGCGGGTGGGCATAGCCACCATCCCATGCGGGAGTCGAATCAGCAGCCTTGTTGTTAGAGCACACGCTCTATCCACTGAGCCATCCCGGTGGCAGCTCAGCTCAAGGTGCCGAGTTCAGTCTTAGTTGCAGGCGAGCATAGCCCACTATCGAACAGGCAGTCTTGTTAGGAGCACGTGCTCTCACCGGCTGAGCCATCTTGCCACCTGTTGGCAGCTCAGTGGCAGCTCAGCTCGGGCGGAGTGTCACTGGCCCATGTGGGAATCAAACCAGCGACCTGTTGCTCAGAGCTAACACTCTTAAGCTAACTCAACCAACTGAGCTACTCGGCCGGCCCAGGAACAATATTATTAACTAAGATACCGACTTCATTGGGATTGTACATTATTTGACAAATTTCCTTTTTCTGTTCTAGGATCCAATCCAGGATCCCATATTGCATTTAGCACAGAGCTTTTAATTAAAGATAATTATAGCAAATTCTTGTATAACAGAAGACATTTAAGAATTAAATCCTATAATTCCTACTCTCCAATGCAAAATATTGCTAAATCTCTCAACTCATTCTCAGTGAGGGTATGTTTTGATCCTGGGAATATTAATGCTATCCATCTATCTAGGTTTTCAGTGGATCCATCCCCGATGGGGTGCATACAAATATGGCTTCCTACACACATGCCTTGGGACGGGTCTCCTGGGTGTCTTTCAGTCTGAAATCAAGATTGCATTGTCTTTTTCAACAGAACTCATACTGTCAAGGAGTCCAGTGTGCTTGCTTCTCCAAGGATGACAAGTATGTGTACGCAGGCTTGAGGGATCGCTCTATAATTGTCTGGAGTGTGCTGGACGGTGAGTCATTTTGCTTTGAAAGCAGGGCTGAGCTTAGATCTGGAGCAGAAGACTGTCCTGCGTCCTAGGCATTAAAGTGCCCCACTTTGGCCTCCTCCAGCTCGTTCCCTCCGAGTCCTCTACAGGCCACGAGCACAAACCCACCTGGAGCTATAGCTTCTCTTCTAGGCCCATGCTCTTGGTACCTGGGACTCCAGAACACCCTCCCCACCTGGCCTGAAGCCCTCTGCACAGACCTCTTTCCCAAGGCCATCCTTTTGAAGGTAGACTGCGCCCCCAACGCGCATACCCTTGGGCTCAGGGTGGCCATGGATAGTGTGCATGGAGTCTAGATGTATGAGCTTGGTAAAGGGTTTACATGTATATGTGTGAGGCCCCAAGTGTATAGGGTGGAACTGGGTGTGGGTAAATAAGGGGGCCAAGCCACAAACAGCTACATTCCAATATGGAATTGAGGAGTCTGAGAAATTTTACCCCAAACCTGACCTTCCAGATGGTTCCGAAGGTATAGTCATCAATGTAGGAGGCTAGAGCATATTTCATTTAATAGTTTATTAGCTAGATTTATAATATTTATGTATTGTGTCTTATAGGATATGGGCCTTGATTCATTCTCTTGTCCTGGGTCCCATAAATGTCAGGGGTGGCCCGTTTAAGACCAACCACTTTAAAAACCCCACATCTCTTGGTAGGTTCAATGTTACACTAAGGGCATATTAAGAAAAGTTAACATTCCTTGTATACTAGGTACTGTTACTGAGCCAGTTAATTATATCAACAGCCACCCCTATTTTACAGAACAAAAACTGAGGCTCTAAGAGATGAGATGACTTGCTTAATGTCACACAGTGAGTAACTGGTAGGCTGTTTCTTGAAGCTGTTCTGCCTGGTCCCCATATTACCTTTGTTACCTTCCTACACTGTCTCCTGTAACAAGGGAATCCATATGACACTGGTAGGAGGGTAAAAATCATTGCTATCCCTGTTTGACATGAAGAAGTTGAAGTTCAGAGAGGTTAAGGGATCTGCCCAAGATCACAAAGCAAGTAAGTGGCTGAATGAATATCAGGTAGAGCCAAATAAATTGTAATAGAATACATTGTAATTGAATACATACATTGTAGTTTAATATAGTGTAGCAAAGATGCCTGGCAAAATGTCACAGATGGCTCAGAAGCAGAGGTGTGTAGATTGTGGCCTTAAAAGCCCATCCTGAGCAGGTTTACAACTTCTTTTCCTACTCCTTCTCCAATAATACTTACTGAACTCATTCTGGGATAAAAACTGATATTGACATGCATGACATCTTCAAATCTTCATAATTCCCCTCAGCAGGTAGGTTCAGTTATCATTCCCATATTGAAGATGAAGCAAGAGGGACTCCAAGAGGTTGGATGTCATGCCTGAGCCAGTAACAAGCATAGCAGGAATTTGACCCCATGCAGCCAACCCTTGAATATGTGAAGCGATCTCTGTGGCCCCAGTTTTCTCATTTGTGCTTCCCTGCCCTCCACCCCTCACAGGCACTCTGCTGGCTGTCCAGTTTGTTCATGCCCTGGTGAACAGAATCATCCCAACTGCCAACGGCTTCATCGCCCCCACCAGACATGGCTATCTCATCCGTGAACGATTCCAGTGCCCTTCGTCAAGAGCCTCACAGCAGGATCCTCTCAAGAACTTCAAGAAGGCAGTGTGGATGATCAAATCAAGGCAGCGAGAAGAGCTGGCTGCTGCTGCAGCTGCATTGCAGGACTCGGGATCAGGGAGTGCCCAGGGAAATGAATGCAAATCAAACAAACGCTCACAAGTCTGCCTGATCGTGTAGAACTGTCCATGGGGGCACTGGGCTCCATGAGGTAGCTTCATTCAATCTGGCTGAAGCAAAGAGGGTGTATGTGTTGATGTATATGAATATCTGGACCCAAGGCCTCAGATTATGTGACCCAGACATTGCTTCTCACCGTCTTTCCATTCCTCTCTCCTCCTTATTGGCTCCATTTGCAGACCTGCCACCCACAAGTTACCAACAGGGTGGCCAAGTTCAGTAGAAAAGAGAGCTTCCCTTTTCTAACAGTTTGAACCAAAGTCCCAGCCTTGATTCTATTGGTCACAGTTGGTTCATATGTTCATCCTAGAACCAATCTCTGACTCTGGGAGAATGCAGCACTGTGATTGGCCAGTCAGATCCAATGCCTACCCAGGCTGAGGATGGAGTCAACACCACCAAACTCTGAGAATGGGACTGAGAATGGGAGAGGCTATTTCCAAGAGGGAAATTAGGGTGCTGGTACCAGGCAAAAGGGGGATGGATGGATGTGGGACTGACCAAACTACAGATGTGGACCACAGAGTTTTACAGTTTATAAAGCACCAGGTACTGTGGTCTGATCCTTATCACAACCCAAACTTCAGGGAGGGTGGGAGTTTCTGCCTCCATTTTACAGATGAGGTAACTGAGCCTTGCAGACGTAGCTGTGATTTGCTCAAGTTCATAGCCCTAGGTGCAAGAACTCTGAGAAACAAGAGCCAGGAGCCTCCTGTCCAACCCTTCTTGGACCACATCACTCCAATTTTAGTCTCACAAGCACAACCATCTATTCCACAGGTGGCACACTCAAATGCCCACAGGGGCCAGTGAGTAATTTGGATAATTGCTGTGCACCTGGGTGAGGAGCCAAGAGTGATGGAGATGGAGGAAATGTGGAGGGCACGTGCTCTGTCTCGGGTGGGCATGGGCACACTGACTCTACCCCCAGAAACTCCATGGGGAAAGCAGCCCACTTTTGTCAGAGCTTCCTAGTGTCATTAGCAAAGCCAGAAATTCAGACTTGTATGCAAAATGGTCCCATGTTTAAAAGTTGGTGATTGGCTCAAGTATACATCTCCAGGCACTTTTGGCCTGTAGCGTCTCTAGTTCATGAGCTGACTTCATGACCCAAGCTGGCATTAAAACAATAAACTTGTTCGAGTTTTTCCAGCTGTACTCCCTGGCTCTCATACTTTGAGGATAAAGATGCTTTTTTTTATCTTAAAAACCAGAGGCTCTTGGAAGCAGATGGAAAGAGCTGCCAACATCTCCCTGCTGTGCTTTTGAACCGTCTCTGCCCTGTGCAAGCTCAACAGTCCAATTGTTTCCATTCCACTTAAACAGGTCTTTCTTCTTTATGGGCAGTCTTCTAGAAACCCCACTTGCTTCTGCGGCTTTTGCTTTAAGGACAGGAAAGTCCAAACCTTTCAAGTGCTATTCTTTCTCCCTTCCATGGAATTCAGAGTTTCAGAAAAAGTAGCTTTAGAAACAGAAGCTTTTGAGCTGGACATGACCCTACTGACTGTCTTGTTCAGCCATTTCTCAAACCAGGGTTCCAAGGAGGGCTTTGGCAGTTCTGCAAATTAGCACCAAATTCCATTTAAAAAAATATTTTAAACTGTAATTTACAAATGCATGCTTAGGTGCGTTGGGCAGGAGGTTTTAAGGTGTTGGAGATAATTAACTTAGGATTCTCCTGCCATCTCCATTTAACCTAGATTTCAAGGGGATCCCTTGAAAAAATAGCTACTGTGCCACCATTTCTCTGTGAGTCAGGGAAAAAAGTGGATGTTGTGACAAAGGAAGATTTCAGCTACAACTTTTGGTTTAAACAACTTTTTGTGTGTCCATCTCAACAGCCTAAGTGAGAATCAATTGCTTTGTATGTAAACACTAAATTGAACATAGGAATTTTTACTAATAAAATGCTATTCCAAATTCTTGCTTATATTGGAGACCTTGAAGTGAGTTTTTACTTCAGAAAGAGTTTGGTTGCTATGAATGTTTGACATGCCCTGTGCCTGCAGGAGGAGTGACTTGCCTGAGGTCTCCCAGCCATGGAAGAACCAGGATGAGAGTGTGGTTATCAAAATCCTCACCTTGCTCTCTTAGGCTAAGTAGGACCATGTAATGTAGCATCCAAGCTGGGACACTTTTTTTAGAATGAAAA